TGAGAAGTCCCAGTCTCTTTAGCCTCTCTTCATATGGGACCTGTTCCAAACCCCTGATCATTTTAGTTGCCCTCCCCTCTCCCACCTTCTTTTCCCAGTCTCCCTGAGTTTTGTTCAATAAAGAGAGTTTCTATTTTTGAACACACGTGTCCTTTATTTTGTACATTAGGAAGGGGGGCTAGGGAGGGGTAAGTGGAAGGAGGTGAGGGAGGAATGGGGTACGAGCCCCCGATGGGGAGGACTGGGGTGGCTCTGTGGGCTCCTCGGGGTGGAAGCTCTCCTGCAGCCCCCCGATTGAACCACCCCCCCGGATGGCAGCCTGCGGCAAGTGAAGCCAGGCTGATGGCTGAGTGCTGTGATGTGCCGAGTGTGGGCATTCAGGGCACTCCAAGCCAGGACTGCTTTGCTGTCCCTCATCGAGTTAGACAAGCGAGCAGGGAACCCCTGAGAACTGTCTGTCTGGGGTGGGGATCGGGTCCCTTTAAGTACAGCCCTCCGCTAGCCTGAGACAGCAGCTCCACGCTCTAAGTCCTAATCTGATGCCCTGCTGGCACTGCTTCCGGCCATCCTTAACCTCGGTTCAGGGTCCACTCAATGTGGACATGCTAGTTCAAATTAGCAAAATGCTAATTTGAACTACTTTTTAGGTCTAGATGCACTAGTTCGAATTAGCTTAGTTCGAATTAACTAATTTGAATTAAGTTAGTTCGAATTAGTGCTGTAGTGTAGACATACCATCAGAGGGAACACTTCCCCACCCTCTCCATCCCCAAGTTAATGTCACACACAATGGGTTAATGCTATTGCAGGATAGTTGCATGAGGGGAGTTTGGTGGGGGCCAAAATAATCCCTATTGGTAGGAGGATGGTGGAAAATTCCTTAGAGAGGGGACATTTCTTCTGGTCATGTATCCATCAGAGAAAACATTAAGAACATTCCCACTTCGTCACAACAGGTACAACAAAATACAATATAATATATTTGATTCACAATGGAATCCACATTGCTTCCATGGAATTTGTTCCATGCTTATGCTACTATTGTGTTTGTGTGGATAACCCAGGGAAAAAGGGTGCAAATATAAAAAAAAGGGTGAAATATGTATATTTAAATATATTTAATATTCAATATAATATATTGAAGTGGGCAAGTGCGGGCGGGCAGGCAGGGGAATGGGGGGGTGGGACTAGACCCATTCTGGGCACCACCAAAAATTATTTAAACCTGCTTCCTTGACTGCAGCCCAAGCCCTCTGGGGTGGCTGGTGGAGAGCGTAGGCAGTTTTGGGAAGGCAATGCCTGGCCTTGCCAACATTACATGCTCACATTCTTAACAATGGTCTCTCCAGATTCAGGATGAGGCACAAAAAATGGGACAGTGTGTTAGGGAAACTTTCATAGCTGTTGCCGTGCTGCAATTGTTAGGGGATAAACATGAGACTTCTGATGCTAAGCCATCAGGGTGGCCCCTTTCTTCATCATGAAATGCACAGCAAAAATAGTAAGAACAGTATCAATGCAAGAAGTGACAAAAGCACAAATCACAGTCTCTGGGCCAAATTCTGCTCTCAAACAAAAGTCTTGTACTAGATTATCTCCACTGTCTATAACGGAGTGACTCCTAATTTTCAACAGTGTAAGTGAAAGGAGAATCAGCTCCTTCGTGGCATGCCTACATGCTCTATATATGCATTAAACTGTAAACAAAAAATAGCATTCATATGTTTGATTGTAGGTTTTTTGATTAAAGCAAATCTCAAGTGATGTTTTTGCTAGTATATCATGGTAGTTTCCTGTAGATATGACATGAGGTATACGGTCTGAATAGAAAAGGAATGCAATTTCCCTTGTTAAAATAATTCTATTTTATAGGTGGCTCTTGGTAGCTGAGGTGTTCCCAACACCAGGGAATTCCCAAGGGGGTAGATCTGCTAGTAATATGACCCCTTTATGCCAGCTGAACACCATGCACTTTATGGGAAAAAAACACTAGCCACTATCTTATCCCTAGCCATCTCTATATTAGGAAGACAGGGATAGCAGGCTAACAACCAGAACTGTAGATAAGAATTTCATTTGGATTTTTTTAAATCTGTTAGCTTGTTTTGAAACAGCTTTATTTGGCTCTGTTCCCAGTAAAGTTTGTACTTGCATAAGACATCCGTGGGCACCTGTGGACCACACTCTATTCACTGTGGGCGAAAAGCACTCCTAAAGGCACCTGCCATGCTTTCTGTTAAAGGCTCGAGTCAAATGGGTGAAGGGGGGTTCTCTGGGCTGCTGTCAATTTCACTCTGGGGTCAGTGGTATTTTTTCTGGCATTTCTTACAAACTTGCCTGCTTTGATTGCAAGCTCTGCATTTTATTGTAGTAGTTTTATCACAGGAACAGAGTGAGATGGTCTTTTTGGAATGTCCTAGTAGTGACACAGCAGTCACACAATCCCACTTTAGGGAACACTAGTAGGGCCAAAGTAAATGAGAGAAGACAATGCTGATCACTCAGCCTGAGTTTTTGCTCAGAGGCCCACGCTTCTTTGTCCACTACCTGGCTTCCCTTTAGTGAGAGACTTTTTGGAAGAGAAGTGGGGGGAAGCTAATAGGTGGGGGCTTGGAACCAGGGCGGGGTCCGTCTTCTCAGCCCTGCACATCCTGCGGAAAGAAAAACTACACTTCCCAAGCATCCCTGCCCGCGCCGTCTGGAGGAGGGAGCGCTGTGCTCCCGCGGCATAACCGGGCTCCTCATCACGTTCAGTTTCCGCAGGGAAGTGTTTGCAGCAGCTGCCCTGCGTCTATTGTGTCTCCTCCCTTCTGCATCCGTCCTGCTGTCCGTAGAGTGTGAGGATACATTAACAACGTGTTAACCCTTGAGGGCTTGGCTCAGCCAGATGCAGAGGGCTGGAACAGAGGGAGAGTCTGCAAGAGCTGCATTGCTAGCTCATCAAGCCGAAGAGCGATCATTCAGCCCCAGCCGCGAGGCATTCCCTGGGAAATACCCCACCTGATGTACATGGTTGCTTAGGAAAAGAAGCTGGAGGAGCTCAGCAGTCTAGCAGATCCCCAGGCAATCCTCTGACCGGAATAGTGACCGCAGGGAGATTTGGGGAAAGGGAGCTGCTTGCTAAGGTGTGAGCAAGAAACAGACGGGGGCTTAAGGAGCTGAAATAAGACGCGGTGCCCATGCAAGGCTGGTTGAAATGTAAATGGTCGAGGGCTGTGTGTATGCTCTTCCAGCGGATCCGGGAGGAAGCTACTAGTTGGTTCCTTGAAGGAATAATCAGCGTATCCTTCCTGTTTCTTTAAGAGCTCAGGAGAAAAGGGGAGGTGCCAACCTATTTTGCAGGCTATTAGTCACTTGGTGCTTGAGGAATACGAGGAAGGAAATCCTCGCACAAAGCAGAGCTGTAGGGGGTGGGGACATTTGGGGAGCTGGATGGACATCTTCCAGCCGGCCCAGCCCCTGCGTTCATTCAGAGCAGCCAGATGTGGTTGTAGATGTGGAGAGGTTTGAACCGAACTAGAGTCTGCAAATCCGAGAAGGGGAGTTGCTGTTTGGATGGCTTTTCAATAAGGAATGGGAAGGACACTATATACTTGCTGAGGAGTAAAAAGAGAGCAATAATGAATATGATCGAATACCAAGCCATGCCTTAGAATGCAGTAGAGGTCGTATCGTTTTGCCTTACGTTTTCAGTAGAGTGCAACCAAACAACCTGCCTCTTCGTTCTGTAATATACAAATCATAGCTGTTATCCCCAGGAGACAAGGACAAGCATCTCTGTCTAGTAGGAGTGAGTTGGACTTTAGGAGACTTGCTTTCAGTCATTTTGATTTTTTTTTAACTGGGGAATTCCTTTTTCATTTTGCTTTTTTAAATTTTTTCCAAGGAACATGGGACACCCTGCCTTAGAGTTCAGCGACTGCTACCTGGACAGTCCAGATTTCCGAGAAAGGCTGAAATGTTATGAGCAGGAGCTGGAGAGAACCAACAAATTCATAAAGGATGTGATTAAAGATGGGAATGCACTTATCAATGCTATAAAAAGTAAGTAAAATGATATAGCTTTGTTTAAACATTCATTTATACCTACACATTATATACATCACCTATAGCTTTGCAGTGATGCGAATATCTGTGCATTATTGCCATATACACTAATCACATGCTACTATGTAAGGATATTTAAAAATATCTTATAAAAGTAACTTTTGTCTTTAATAATAGATGCAACCAATATCCAATAAACATAATTTCCTGTTACGCATTTGGACAGTTTTCTGTCAGCAGTATTTAAGAAAGAAGAGCTCTTTATAAGCTCCCAATATTACCTCTCTCCCAGTAAAAGATATAACTACACCCACCTTGTCTCCATAGTATGTGAGATATTTTACATATGTGTCTGTTTAAAGTGATACTTTACATAGTTAATGTGCAGAGCTCTTTTCCCTGCATGCAGTATATTCTGAATGTCATTTTGTTTCGATGGCCTTTTGAACAGATGATGTACAGAGAGTTCACTGGTGTACGTTATGTGTATATTGTCAATATAAGTGCATAGTATGTCCCAGTAGCAGGTAAGTGTTCTTCATCAAAATATACAATATTTTTTGTTGATGAGCAATATCATCTTGCTTATTAATGGAATAATACAGATAAGTGTGATACAATGTAAATATAGGCACAACATGGTGAAGTGTGTGTTTTCCTAACAAGAAGTACTACAGCATTCCAGTATAATTACTACACTTCAAATATAGTAAGGCTAAGTGGAACCTTACACTTTGATTCTGTAGTGTAGGACCTGAACAAAGACCAATGTTCTGTATTGTATTTTGCCTCCATTGATGTCTATAGAGTCCAGAGTCTCTTCAGAGGAGATTAGCACTTTGAGTCAAAGGAAGAAGACGAGGAACAGTAGTAAAAATAATGCCAATGAAGGCAGAATGTCCCACCATGTTGACGTGTTCTTTGATGGAATAAGTTCTAAAATGGGGGGAATCTATTTAAGTCATATTTAATGGTGTCAGTGGGAGTTCGGTGCTTAAATGCCTTTGCAAATCCCACCTTTAGTCTCTGTGTCTCAACTCCCCATCTGACAGGGCTATTGTGAGGATATCTACATCAAAAATTGTTAGGTGCTCAGGTAAGTACCTAAGATAGAAGGATTTCAGTTCTTGGATATAAAAATGGTTGGGCTGAGGTTATCAGTTGTGATGATTGTACTACAAAAAGTTCTTTTGTTTATCATTTTTCCTTTTCTCTCTCTTGTTTGCCTGCTACACCAAAGTCCACCTAATCAATAACTACTAGGTTGTTGATTACTATTTGATCTGAGGAAGTGGGTCTGGCCCACGAAAGCTCATCATCTAATAAACCATCTTGTTAGTCTTTAAAGTGCTACATAGTCCTGTTTTTTGTTTCAGCTATACCAGACTAACACGGCTACATTTCTATCACTATTCCCCACACTGAGAGACTAGGGAGGCCTAGGCTAGTAGATTTTGTGTGTTCCAGCACCATAGGGCACGGACTGGAGCACAAGTGCAGGCTCTCCAATGCCATGGAGAGCTCCGAGCCGCTGTAGCCATATCCAGGAAATCCAGGGGCCACATCCGCCCCCCCCCTCCCCCGGCCTTAGGTTCCTCAGTCCTGGCATAGGTAGACTTCCTGGTACCATGTTGATCAACCTTGTGTCTAAGACTTTGGTTTGGTAAAATGTTTCAGATAATTAGTTTCTCAGTGTGTGGCACTCCATCAATATAAAGTTTTATTTTATTTATATATTGGCTTCATGGTGTGGCACTATAAATAACTAACATACAAACTGAAACGTAAGAATGAAATCAAATTAATTAAATTCATTGTCTGCCGACAAGCTTCTAAAAATGCCAAACACCTGCTGTCTCAAGATGACAGACTGTACAGCCTGGTATAGTGACTATAGACTGCAGTGTAGAAGGCTGGATGCAGCATTGTGAGTCTGCATATAAATGAACACAGCCACTTAAATTGTGCAGTCTCCGCACATTCATGAGAGCTCCTGAGGAAAATTTACAGTTCTCTGATGATGGGAAAAATAAGATTTGACTTAGAATAGGTCCCAGATAAAGACTCAGAATTTGAAATTGCAACCCTGTGTGTGTAGAATAATATCAGGTTGCTCTCAAGATCTACTATAAAATAAGACTGAAGCTTAATTCTCCTCTTACTTATGTTTGTGCCATACTAAAGATGTCTGTGGAAAAAATCTTAATTTACACTTGTGTGAAAGGGGAGTTAGGTTTCACTTCTCCAGAATTTCTGTAAGTATTACAGAAATCAATACTCGTGTATGGACAATAGACATGCATGGGGGATTTCCCTCTGAATTCTGCAGTGGTTATATATTTGGGGAATATTTTCTGAATTCTGTGCAAGTTCTGCAGATATATGTAGTTTTTTGTCTCTTTTGTTTATCTTCTTGCTGCAAAAAATGTTTTTAAGTGCCAGTTGTTATTGCAAGAGCTACCTTAGTCCAACCTGTACTTTTCAGCACATTGGGTTACCCACATTCTTCATGCTTGCTCCATGTGACCTAAATCCTCCCATTGTGACAGATTTTCTATGTCATTGAGGATCATTATTGCAAGAATTAAAGTAAGAAAATATTAAATAACTGATATTGTTTAGCAAGTAAAATTTGTCAACGTGTCAGAATTAGCCAGTAAAATCTGCAGAAAATTGTAGCAGAATTTTTATAGGTTTTTTCAAAGAAACAAGCAACCTGCAATATTTAGTGGTACATTAAATAAAAGCCAAAAGGGGAGGAAGAAGGTTTTGTGGGGCACAAAGTTAGGTGCCTCAGGCCTACTGAAAATCATTTGAGTTACCCCCATTTGTGCCTTTAAAAATCTGCCTGAGATGGTTAGGTGCCCTTTGTAAACGGTTTGACATTTTTATAAGGAATGCAAATGAAGGGGAATGAATGTTTAAAAATTATGGATCAATATAAAATGATATACTATTATCCCTAGCTAAACTGTATATTTGAGGCAAGTTTAGTGGATACATTTCAGTGCACATTTTTTTTTTAAATTGTTAAAATGTGTCACATTGTAGGTTGCCTGCACTAAATGCTTGAGTGTTCCAGTAGGTGGATATTTCTCTTAGCTTGAGTAGCTTACTTTGCGTGTGGGGAATTATGCACTTTTTTCATCCCTTCTTTAAGCCTAGTCCACAAGGTAGCTGAGAAACAAACACTAAACTCAGAGGCCTGAAGAGAACCCTTATGTCATAGCTTTTTTTCAATTGTCAGTAATATGAATGTAGTTTATCTTAGTGTAACCTGCTCTAATTATTGTATTCTCAAAGCAGTTTGTATAGAATTTCCCATATGTTCACAAAAACCTTTCCCTTCTAACCCTGACAGAGTAGTATCAATTCCCAGACCACATTTTACCCTTTTCAGCTAGACTCTCTGAAGTCTCTGTAGATTTCTGAAGTCTCTGTAGATTTCAACTTTATCTATTTCTTTAAATTAATTCTTTGTGTGTGTACATGCACCCTGGATTTTCCTTAAGAGAAAAGGAGAGGGCCAGGAAGGAGGAAATCTAAGGGAGATTCTATTCAGTGTCCCTCAGATGGTTTGCAAGGAATGGGGAGGAAAGGCCAGATCCATCCTCCCCACCCCAAATTGACAGCACTTCGGAGATCTGTCAGAGTTTAGAGTTACCATCCCTTTGGATGGTCTATATATTGACACTAGCGCTAGACCATCATCCTTGCCCACTCCCATCAGTGCAGCTTGGACTGAGCTGAGCTAACTGTACTTCTGCTGACTGCTCTTACCCCCCCTACAGGAAGGATAAATAGGTGGGGGAATCCACAGAGCAGAGGGCTTTAGCAGAAAACTTCATACAGCTTCAGTTTTTATTACATTTTTTTTCTACTGATTGTTGATTGGATGGGGATGGTGGAAGGGCTGAGATGGTGATAGGACAGTGGAGGGGAAGAGAAGAAAGACATTGTGCCCTTCCCTGTGGGCTTGCTTTGTCCTGTGGGTTTCAGAACCGCATCTCCTTGGAGCCACAGTGATCAGAATAGCAGATTAGGGAATTTTGACATGGAAGTGACACTTGGACAGAGGGGACACCTCACTTAGAGATTTCCTTCCATGTGTGGATCCACAGGAAGAGGGATGGGCAGATCCAGTCTGGCATATTTATTCAGAGATAGCTTTTTAGCATCCGACTATCTGTGTGGGCTCTCTAAGTGAGACTGGAAAGTAGCAAAACAGGGATATGAATGTAGATTTCCTCTTTCTTAATTCTTGTAATAAAAAGCAGAGTCCCCCTTCCCTTCTCTCCAAGCATCTGTTTATTCAGTCAACCCCTCCAGGGAGACTGCAAACTTGAGGGAGTCTGGAATAACAAACACTTTTCCAGGCTGTCAAAGCTCCACTCTTGCTTCACACTCCTTGCAGGGTGATGCAGAAGAGAATTTAAAATACAGCACTGTTGAGTTTTGGCCAGCACTAGAGACCTCTGCATAGGTAAGGTATTGGCTGTGTCGAGCTAAATTTGAATGTTGGAACACTGATCCAATGGAGTATTTCCTCAGTTAAAGAAAGGGAGGTAGAGTGAGAAGACATTACCATGTAAATTGGGTGTGTTTGCTTTGATGACTTTGTAGCTAATGTTACTAGCTATGAAGTGAATAATATAAAAGTAATTACTGATAGTGTGATTATAACTTCTCTGCAGACTAAATTGCTGAGACTTTAGAAAGAGAGTTGTTTCTCAATTATTTCAAATTTCTCACGTTGGAAAAAATAAAAAGTAATACATGTTATATAGTAATTTGCGTACTGAGAAATAAATATTGGTTCCTTTTCTGTACTACAGAAGGAAAAGCTGACAGGGACTTCCTCTGAGAGGCCTTGGGCTGATCACTATGTGCTTCAGCTCTATTTCATCTGTAAAATAGAGATAATGCTTAACCACTTCTTTTTTTTTAACGCATTATGGGCTCTTTGTATGAAAAGCAGTACATGGGACTGATGTTAT